CTGCTAAATATGAATGTAGGAGTTGACTTTACTTTTCAATTCGATTGGATCCGATAACGATAAACTGAGCTCATTGTTGTCAATTCTTTCTTACGACTTGAGAAATGTGGATTCGAGGTTGAATCTTTTGCTATGAAATCACTATGATAAGCAACTCAGTTGCGCAGAGGTCCGATGATGCTAAGCTACTTCGCGGCGCTATGCAGCACGCAGCAACCAGTCGATTTGTTAAGTTGCTTCAAATTGATTCTCGAATATATTTATCGTAGCTCAACGACTCAAACTAAAAAAACGTCTAGGATTAGTTTTCTCCCAAAGGTTTATATGGTTGAAACTTGCACACATCTTCATGAAACAGGAGATTTTGCCGACGCATATCCACTGAAATACAGACTAGCAACTGTAATCCTACGTTACGTGTATGAACCTTGATTTAGCGAGTATTCTGGTTTTAATCTAAAGTAGTTAGTCAGAATATTGTTGTGACCGTGAAAATGCACAGTTCTGCTCGTTACAAGTATTACGGTAACGGTTACAATTACTGTCATGGTTATGCAAACTGATTATAGACATAATGGGAGTGTAGATAAGTCAGGTAACAATGGGTTGACTTAGAGGTAGCACAGAGTAGCGAAGTAAGGACCTTGTATATTATATTCACTTCGGTTTTTGCCATCTTCTCTACAGCTTAACCACCGCAACCAAGCCTCGCTTCACGACACCTTTACCGCCATGGCTACCAAACGCACCGTACTCCTTCTGGCTAATGTTAGTTACTACCATCGAGAATTCAACATGAGGGTGGCCCCAGCAAGAAAAGAAGTACTGAAGGGCACGTCATTTCATCGAAGAATGAGAGCAAGATTATGGAGATGTGTCTGATGGATGACGCCAAAGTATTGGGCATAATTGCCCAGGGCGTCAAATTTCAGCAACAGACCAAGATTCGGTCAGGTACTTGTGCCTTGGAGGCGTGAGGAACCCTTCACGATTTCTACGATCGCTCCACTCTGTACAACCGTGTCACGATGACACGTCGCCTCCATGATGGAAAGTGTTACTCGCATGACGAAATTTCTAAACGCGTTTGACGAATTATTCGTGATAATCCCAGTGGCGGGAGAGCCATTGGATGAATCAAGACAGCTGCTGGTACTTCTGAGCAGCCTGTCCTCAGAGTATAAAGTATACATCATATCGTGAATGATACAAGTTAAATCATGCTAATCAAAGTCAAAGAGAAGCTGTCGAAGAAAACAAAAAGGTTATAGACGAAGGAAGCCACTGAAACAGCAGTCCGCGCTACCGGAAAAAAAGGGGAGGCTAAATGCAGTTGGGGAGGCGGTTGCAAGATCTACGCGCCGCGAATGGACAACGGTTTTGGGGGAAACTACTTTAACTGGAAGCAGATATAACACATGAAACGCGGCTGTCGTACTGAGAGTCATTCCGGAAATCGCTCCGACAGGAGTGATGCAGCATTTGCTGTGGGTAAGGGCCGATCAACCGCTTGGCTAATTTACAGTAGCGCGACGTCGCACATGGCCCTTCACCCGAGTGACTTGGTTGGTTACAAGCGTTTAAAAGCCAGTATTGAGGTAATGGTTGCAGACGGCTGATAACTAAGCGTTGAAAGAAGTGGAGCGTTGAAACTTATTGGTCTAGATGGAAGACACATATCTATGATGGAGGTGCTGCTTATCCCCGATCTTGACCAACGTTACTCTCTTTGGGAAAGCTAGTCAAACGCAGATTAAATGTAGAAGATTAGTGTGCTTCGTGTACCAACTGAGTCATGGCGATTGGGACGAGAAATGGTAAAGGTTTTGATTTGGACCGTCAGCAAGAGGAAGCACAATCGGTGCATTACTCGGGAGTGGAAGCTATGGCACGCTCGAATGGGTCTTTAAAGTGAGGATGCTTCAGTGAAAAATCTACATTCCACAAACGGGATGTTGGCGCTAAAATAAAGCATAAAGACCTTGTGTGGTGGTTACCTGAAAGCCAAGCAGATGATTGAAGCATTACCAATGCGCATTGTCACGAAATCGTCATGTGTATTGAAACAAGGGCATATGGACGTGATGGCACCGACGAAAACGCCTTCAAAGAGAGAGGTCAAGTATATTCTAACATTTGTGGATCATTACTCACCATGTGTGGTTTAAATTTGCTTGAAGAAGAAGAGTTAAATTCCCGAATAATATGTCCAAAGCA